ATAACCCAATGGAACAGAATAGAGGACCCAGAAATTGACCCAAGCCATTATACTTAATTAATATTTGACAAAGGAGGCAAGAGCATACAGTGGAGTCAAAACTGCCTCTTTAATAAATGGTGCTGGGAAATTTGGTCAGATACATGCAAAAAAAATGAAACTGGATGACCAACTGGATGACCAACTTACACAAAAACAAACTCAAAATGGCTAAAGGACTTGAATGTTAGACGGTAAGACCCAACTCTATTTTTTTCTTCTGTCGTTTTCTTTTATGTTGTTTTGTTGTTGTTTTCAAGGCTCAACTTTAAACAAATAGAGTTGTCCAGGTTACATCAGTTTTGGGGGAAGAGGGGGGTGGTAAGAGATCAACCGAAGGACTTGTATGCATGCATATAAGCATAACCAATGGACACAAGACACTGGGAGGGTGGGGTAAAGGCATGTGCCGGGGGTAGGGGAGGGCGGGGGAAGATCAATGGGGGAAAAAATGAGACATATGTACTACTATTTGTAATACTTTAAACAATAAAATAAAATTTTTTTAAAAAAAGACCATAGGTGGATTTTGTTTGTATCCTGATTTACACTGAAAATATTGTAAAATGGTATTTTAAAGATTTTGGGACACAACTGAATATGGACTGGTATCAAATGACATTAAACAATTATTAATTTTGTTAAGTGTGATAATAGTATTTTGGTTAATAAAGGTCTTTTGTTAAGAAATCTATACTAACGCACACAAGACTAAAAATGACATGATGCCTATAGTAATTAAAAATATTCTCAGTAAAAGGGAAACTACAACAAAATGCTAATAATTGTCCCATCAAGATGTTGGGTACATGACTGTACATTGTATTGTTGTTACACTTTTTAAATGTGCATAATGAAAATATAAGAAAAAAAAACAGCTTGATGAAAAGAGGGAATTGTGAAGTTGAAGTCAAGAGCAGGACAGGCGCATGGATCAAATGTCAGGAGCCTAAGTGGGAATCAGGTAGAAGGGCCACAGGGAGGAGGATGAGATCAACCAAAGAGGCGAGGGAAGAATCTTGCAAACATGTATAATACATGTCTTGATCACTGCTGTTGTGCCAATACCTATTACTGTGAGTAGCATATACAGTAAGTGCTCTGAAGTTATTTGTTTAACCAAATACACCATGGTCCTTTAATGGAAATGTGTGTGTATGGGTGGGGTGGGGGGAGGGGTGATCTATCCACACTATTAGTAAAATAATCACAATCATTCCACCAATGAAAACTTATTATTTTGGGCACTGAGGTTACAAAAGTGGACAAGGCAAGCAAGCTCTGCACCTCAGAACATACCAACAAACAAGTCAACGGGCATATAGAGCATAATTTAGATGGTGGTGAGTTGGAGACAAATGAAGTCACCTAAGGGGGAAGTGACATATGGCTGTTACTTTCCATTGGGTGGTCATGCTCAATGATGAGTATCCCCTGAGGAAAGAGACCTGAAGGGAGTAGGGAGACTAACCATTTTGGTATCTGAGTGAGGAGCATTCTAGGCAGAAAGAAAGGCATGTGCAAAGGTCCTGATGCCAGAGAGGATTCGATATATTTCCAGATCGTGTGGCTGGAACAGAACATTCATGGGCAAAATGGTTGAAGATGAGGTTAAAGAAGTACCTGGTCATGTGATGGGCATTTGAGCCATTGGGTATTATTCAGAATGCAACAGAAACCAATCTTTTTGCATGAGTCACTTCTGCTGACAGCTGTCTCACCTATCATACATTGACTTCTTGCCTTACAAAAGCTCTGCTGGCTTTGTTGCCTGATCCTGCAAATCATGTTGTGTGTACTCCACTGCTCTAGCCAAGCATAGAACCATTAACAACAATTAAAATACTTAGGTGATAAATGAATTATTGGTGTGGCCCAACATATGAGGTTGGGGTCAGTCCTAGTCTATTCTTAAGGAATGATTAGAAGAAAGTCTGATGAGCTGTATTGTTCATCATGCCATTGCTTAAAGTACCCGTCTGTGTGCTTTTCTCTTACCACTGGACACAGAAGTAATCAGTTTTACTTGGTGATCCTTTTGTCCATTGGGAGTGAAAATATCACTGGAACTGGATTCAAAATGTCTGGCACTGGAGTTTCAGGACATGAGTTTTGGAACTAGACAGATCTCAGTTTGTGACGGATTAATCCATCTTCCTTTGTAACTTTTAAAATAGGGATAAAAAAGTATAATATGTAAGAGTTAGAATTATTTGTAGAAAGAATTTATCACGACACCTAGCACTTAGCAAATGCTAAATAAATATTATGATTTTTAAAAATGTATAAAAGATGCTTGAGCATCTGATGAAATAACTTTACAATCAGCAGGTATTTATTACGATCTGTCGGGGACTTTCCACATTTGGATTTACATTATGGTTATTTTTCCCTGTGTGTAGTCTCACACTCATGTGTGTATTCCTTGAGGTGAGAATGATAAGCATGTGATTTTTATGCTCAGTATCCAATATTCTGTATCTGAAAAGGTAAAAGCTCAATAAATGTGTGTTGAGAGCATGAGCAAAAAAAAAAAAAAAAAAAAACACACCATCACTACTCTGCCTGGGATTCTAGTGCCACTGGCCACTCAGAAACTCACAATTACCCAATCTGATTTGATTGGTAAGAATCCCAATTCCAAGGCTAGATCTAGAGGGTCATATATATATTTATTTTCCATTTGGAATGACTCAACTGTCAGAATTCCTGAGTGGTTTGACACCTGAATCAGAAGAAAAATCTCAGCTTTATCTTTAAAAGAGATGGCATCAAAGTCTTTGATTTGAAAATCCAATAATAGCCAGAGGAAAAGTATATTTAAAACCCACAACTATACTACTATCTCTAGTTTCAAAACATGCTATGGCCTAAATAAAGTCCCCCACAAAATAGTAATTATAAAATTTTAAAGGCCTTATACCTTAGTATTTCATGTCAGCAAAACTAATATCAAGGGGCTTAAATTCTCTCTGAGACACCAATATACAAGATACAGTACCCCTTCATACAATCAACATCAGTATGGTATCATCAAGAGTGTAAATAGGAGAACGTTCTCAACTTCCACAAATTTTACCTTCACTACCAAGGTTTGCAGTCTATTGGGAGAAATTTATGTATTTCTACATAGAACAACTGGAGAGATCTCTACGATATAGAGTGGAACAAATGTACTGCCTATTTAAATTGTTCTCAACTGATCCAGAAAAAGAAGTTGTTCATATAAGACAAGTTTGGTTCACAAAAATTTCCCTTTTAACTACACAACCAATAAAAAGTTAAAATCATATTTTTAAGAGCACTTAAGTTTTTTTTTTTTTTCAATTCTAATCCTCTAGTTCTATGGCATTATACTACTCACTGTCCCAGTGTTTGAAAATTCAAATAATTCTGGCCTTACAATTCTGTCTAACCTTAAAACAGAAATGAGTTGAAAAGCAGTTGTAGAGCGGAACAACTGAAAATCCTAACAAATACAGGAGAGCCTGATAGGAGGGCAGGGGTAGCAACTGCAGCAGATGATGCGTCCTCCTTTCTCATAAGTGTCAGGCACTTGCCCTACACACATTGCCAATCCTTCCACTATTATGAAGAGCAGAAGGCAGGAAGAGGGGGCGCTATGTGCTGGGCACTTCTAGTAACTACTGCACCAAAAACACCCAGCCCAACCCAAGGAAGCAGGCTGTTTCCAATTCTTTTTTTTCTTTTCTTTTTTTTAAATATATTTTATTGATTTTTTACAGAGAAGAAGGGAGAGGGACAGAGAGTCAGAAACATCGATGAGAGAGAAACATCGATCAGCTGCCTTCTGCACGCCTCGCAGTGGGGATGTGCCCGCAACCAAGGTACATGCCCTCGACCGGAATCGAACCTGGGACCCTTGAGTTCGCAGGCCGACGCTCTAACCACTGAGCCAAACCGGTTCGGCAGTTTCCAATTCTTAAAGCCTTCAGGGACCTCTACCAGACCTTAGTTTCACAAAAGGGCTAAACATAAGGAACATATGCAAACACTCGTTGCAGGCCCGAGTAACTTAAAAGAAAATCTTCACAATGTGAACCACCGTAGCTTCAACATTAGAAAAAAAATAGCTTTGACTTGTTCAATTGTTAGCTTAAAATGCAAAAATAACCCACTACATCTATACGTACCAAAGTTTAAAAATGTGCTCCTATTATTGCTGAAAACAAAAATTATTAATCTAGTGTTTCATACAATATTTGGGAAAGTACCTGAAATTACAAACACAAGGATGACTTGAAAATTTAAGAAGTGGGAAACAAACCTTTCCATCTAAAAAATTTTCTTGCATGCCAAAACACTCCAAAATATTTTCATGTACGGCTTTAGTTAAACATTATACAATCCGTTATGTGCACACATATATACACTATAAAGGAAAAATAGCCTGTTTGTAGACAGTTTGTAAAACTGCACCTTTTTCAAAGTTAAGCCAGACTGGGCCACAAAATGTCCTTTCTGACGAAAACATTAAAAGCTTTTCAAGCTGGAGGGCAAACACTAAGCTTCTGCCAGGCAAATAGAATAATTTTTACTTCGTGGATAGACAAAGTGAATAGATTACATATATGAAATTATCAAAATCATAAGAACCCAAACCTAACTTACAGAAACAAAAACCCGCTGCTTTTTCATTTTTCAACCAATTTCCTGATCTGATCTAACTCAGACCTTAAAGAACCCAGAGAACATTTTTGTGCAAAGACTTCACCTAGGCAGCAGCCCACACCGCACCTGCCCGCGCCCCGCTCCGCCTACCAGGCTCTGGATCCCAGGACCCCGTACCTAACGCCGCCCAGCCCGGCCCTGCGGAACAAAGTGCCACGGATCCCTTTCAGGGCACGGAAGGACCCGAGAGACGGACTCGACCTTGGTGCCGCCCCAGGGCAGCTGCACAAAGAGCCGCACTTCCGGCCAGACAGCCCACCCCCACTCACCGCGCTTTGGTGGCGTCCTGGGTCTGGAGGACCGGCTTGGCGAAGGGGCTCCGCAAGGGGCAAACACCGCGAGGCTTGCTTCTTTGCGTGGGTTGAACTTTGAAGCTCCGTCTCCGCCGACCCCGCCGCCTCCGCCTGACCTGCCTCCCACAGCCCGCACTCCCCGCCCAAGCTGCGCAGCCGGGCCTCGGACTTCACTTCCGCCTGGAGCGCGCCGCCGCGAGGGGCGCGCCTGCGCGGACACCCACTGCACCTTCCAGGCTCTGGAGGTGAGGTGCAGGCTCCCGTCTGTGTCGGAGGGTCCCTCTGTGCCTGATGGAGAGATGGAAAGAAACCAAGTGGTGTGGCGACCCTCCAAGGTACAGACAGCGGTTCTCAACCTGCTGGTCGCGACCATCCAAAAACACATATAGAATATCAGATATTTACATTACGATTCATAACAGTAGCACAATGCCAGTTATGAAGTAGCAATGAAAATAATTTTATGGTTGGGGGTCACCACAACATGAGGAACCGTATTAAAAGGTCGTGGCATTAGGAAGGTTGAGAACCACTGAAGGTGGATAGCCAGAGAGGCCCATGGCGCCAGCGTGTCGTCCCTGTTGATCTTTTCTAATAAACGCTTATATGGAATGTTTTTCCTCAACCTATTTTTGCTGTTCCTACTCATGTATTATGGAAGGAACATATTGGAACTTAATTGTAGCGTTTTCTTAATATCTTATTATTGCTGGAAATGGAGTATCCCTTTCCCCACTCTGCTGGGTGTGGGGTCCTTAGACTCCATAGGAGGGTGAGTAACTTTTATTTGCATGGAATTAGATCTCTGGATTTCCAAAGTTCCATTACCCTTAAATTAGCCCTGGAAGATGTGTAGCTGGGGATTCAGTAGAGCTAGAAGCAAAGTCAGCATCCAAAGTTTTCTTTCCATGGTGTAGTTGGGTCTAGTGCAGCATCAGGCTAGTTGCAGGTCTATTAGTCCATTGTGTGGTTACACACATAGCCTGTGAGCCATGTGGGCGAATGCAAGGTATCTAAGAGAGTGCCAGAAGCCAAGAGGGCAATAAATCAAACTTTTTGTTTAAGTGATTAAATATCTCAAATCTTCCCATGCCGCCAGTGGCCATGCCTTTGCTGACCAATGACCTGTTCTCAGGTGTGACTGATAGACAAACACCTTCCCTATTTCACCCAGACTTTACTGGGCATGTGTCTGTTCTCCTCTTGTTCAGTCCCTTTCCCCAGCAATCTGCAAGGAATAGACCTGGGGAGTATTAAACTGCAGCTTCCTGGCAAAGCTGCACACAGGATATAGCTATAATATTTGGCCTTTCCTTTGCTCCATTCCTGTTATTAATAGCTAGGTTAATTACAATGTATTGAAATAGGAGTTTTTAGGGGTGAAATAGGCAAGTTTAGGGAATTTTTAAAAATTAAAGGGGTTCATGGAAAAAGCACAGGCTACCCAGCTGCAAAAAGTTACATTTCCATAAGACAAGGGAATTAGGGGAAGCAGAAGTTACATTTCCATAAGACAAGGGAGCTGGAAGTAGCAAAAGATACACATTTACAAAATAAAGGGAAGGAAGCCCCTCATTCAAAGAAGGAAAATTAGGAAAACAATAAGGGAGGAGGACCTCACATATCCCATGTGAGGTTTGACCTTTTGAGTTCAGGAGTTGCTATAGTGGCCAAATCAAAGAGGGATAGTTGCCAATCAGAGGGGATATCAAGGCACAAAAAACTGCATCCAGCCCTGTAAGTGCTTCTGCCGGGGAGATGGGGGTCTAAATGCAGTCCCTATGGGGACGCTTCGAAATCCTGCTACTGAGCCTCTGGTACCACTGCCGTCACCAACCCTTGCTATACCATCTTCTCTCTGTGGTTTCTGTTAGGTCTGATCAAATAATTGACTCATGTACCACCCCAGGAACTGGCTTTGCAGGCCATTTCACGATGGACATTCCCTTTGCTGAGACCACATTTCACTTGCAGGGACCACATTCCATTATCTCCCCTCTGGGTATGCACAAAGAATTCTCTGCCCAGAAGAAGCCCTTCAAAAGTCCTTTAAAAGCTGCTGACCCCCATCATTGGGTTCTGGAGCCATCCAGACTCAGCCACCTGGTGTGGGGATGATTGAATAAATTCGTAATCCCTCACCATTCTGCCCTCGGGCGTTCCTCCTTCAGCGACCTAACAGTCTTCGACTCTGACGGACAAAGAGCCCAGGGAACACCACGTGTTCCAGTCCAAAATTCCCGTATCATAATCATTATGAGAAAATGTATTTCATTTTGTATTTAAAAACAGCCACTGCCTACAAAAACCTTCATTTAAACATGCAAAAGGCCTATGCTGATGGGTGACCAATAGACAGCTGAGCACCAGGCTTACCTACTGAAGCCAGGGCTGATCTAGCGGTGGTGAGGATAGGGGTAAATGCTACCTCACCAAGAGCACGCTTCAGTCATGACGGAAAGGTACCACACAATGGACACAGCACACACTGCCAGACACTTTTCAATGCTATGAATTCATTAAGTCATTTAATGCACATAATATATTATTTTACAAATGAAGAAATTAAGACAAAGAAGTTGACAAACTTCCTTAACACACAAGTACTAGGAAGCGGACCCAGGATTTAAACCCCAGTTTCTGACTTCAGAGTGTTTGCTCTTAACGGGATTTTAGCTTTCCTAGGTTGATCCCAAGAAGGAATATACCTGTCAAAAACAATTTCTGATAACTGGACCCAAATTCATAACCAGAGTTTAGCAGCCTTTATTACAGAGGCATGTCAGGAAAAATCTGAAACTAAGCTGCCACACCTCCTCCACTACATTCCTGCCTTCTGAGCCCAATCTTATAAAGGAGTTCCTGGAATCCTATTTTGGCCAATGGTCTGAGACCTGCCCTATCCAATTAGAGATACAAAGGTATATCTTTATTTGCATCTCCATCCTGATGTAGTGGCTCCATAAGGACCAATCACAACAGTACAATTTGGACCAATAAAACTGTAGAAGTTTGGATTGCATAAAAATGGACCAATCAAGTATAGGACTCAAGGACCCAATGAATTATTAACATGGGGGAGAAGATATGCATGTGTTTCTACCCCCACGGGCCACTAGATTCCAGCTCATTAGATTAAACCCTAACATGGCATGGCACAGTGACTACCAGAACTCCTCTGGCCACTGTATCTACAAAATCAGAACTAGAGCAGTGAACACACTTCACAGACCCCGACATTCCAAAGCAGAAAGTCCACTGCCTCCCTCTGTCTTCTATAGCCAGTAAAACAAAAAAGGGGGAGATGTGGAGAAGCATGGGACTTGGTTGGAAAGTCTGTAAGGAGGAGCCTCCAAAAGATCCGAGGCCAGCGATCTTGCCAAAGGCAGCAGCCCCTGCCTTGAATTTTCCAAACAAGTCTGAGCCCCCCGGGGGTTTTACTGAAATCTTAATGTTTAGTCTTTAGACATCCTTGCTTGAAGGACACTGCAGATACATGTGTTTTCTCAAGGATACTTACCCTGCTGATAATACCTAGAAGTTAATTTTAGTTCAAACTATTGCTACAATAAAAGCCCAATGAGGCAGGTGAATGGGGCTGTTTGGTTCCTATAGCCAAGCAGTCTCTTAGTCCTCTCTCTTTCACAGAAATGTGTGCCAGAATAATCATTCATCCATTGCCCAGGGTCTGCTGGTCAACCCCGGCAATCAAGGACTAGAACAAGTACTTTCTCTGTTAGCCAGACTCCTGTCTGTGGGAGTGTGCCTTCCATTTCTGGTGGAGTCTGCATTTTCTTGTTCACCTGAATTAAGTCTCTCCTTTTACTGCACCTGAAAATGGGGACTCCTGTTGACATTGGATTGGTGGCAGTGACCTTTTGTTAACACTCAGAACTGTTCTCACTGTAGCACTAATAGGACCCACAAGTTCCCTGCCTTAGCTCAGAACCAGGGGATCTTCCTCAAAGGGGAGAGTCTGGGGTGGGCCATCTGGCTAGGGCCCAGAGAGAGCAGGACAACTCTGTGGGACAGTACTCATCAGAAAAAGCCCAGGCAGTTTAGCTTGCCCTGAAGGAGCAGAAAACAACTGGATCTCAAGGAACACTCCCTATAGTCCCTAAAGACTTTCCTAGACATCTGTAAGATTTCAGTACAAATTAAATTAGTTGCAAAATATGTTATTTCTGGCACACTAAATGTACACAGTTTTAAATAAAACTGAATATCATTCTTTCAAATATCTATTGGAATATAGAGACCATGGTGATTTGATTGCTGCTATTGGTCATTTTAAAAATACATAATTTCATAACAGTATGAAATTTTATTGTTCTTTTTTCTCTTTGAATTCCTGTTTCAGTTCCACTTCTACAGAATTTTACCCTAATATATTAGTATATTGGACATCTTTATTTTTTAGTTGCTTGTATCTGTCAAGATACCCAGGAAATGCTGCAGTAACAACAAGTTCAAAATTTCAGTATCTTCACACAACAAAATATTATTTCTCATTTAAGCATTGGGTCCAAAGCTGGTGGAGTCATTTAAAGAAGTACACAAAAAATAAAAGAATTTGTCAACAAGCAGTAATCAAAATGAAAAAAAAAAACACCTAGTATTTAAATAACAATTAGAAGATATAATGGGAAAAAAAAGATTTATTTTGTACAAGGTTACTTATAGGGAAAATAAATATAAAAATATAATGCCTAGCAATAAACTTTTATAGGAGTCATTTAAATCTATATGAATTAACCAAATGGCACAAAAGAACATGGAGGAAAACATCATATTCTAGGATAAGCAGATTTAATATCAGAGTAATGTCAATTCTCCCTAAAATAATTCATGAATTTAATACAATTCATATAAAACAACAATAATTATTTTTAATTGAAGTGTTTTTAATTAACATATGGTAAAAAGAATCAGCCAAAAAATCAAAAGCAATAATATGCCAGGAAAACTTTGAAAATAAAGAGTAATAGGGAGGGACGACAAAAGATGGAGGCATATGTAAAAGCCTATACTCACCATCTCCCACAACCACATTAAAATTACAACTAAAATACAGAACAACCATCATCCAGAACTACTGGAAAGCTGGCTGAATGGAAGTCCTACAACTAGAGAAAGAAGAAAGCACACAGAGACTGGTAGGAGATGTGGAGGTGCGGAATGGGCTGGTCCAGCACCCATGTGTACCGCTTTTTTAATCAGGAGGTAGATGGTCTTTGTGGAGGCTTCCCAGAGGAGCAAGGGGTCCCAGCCCCACATCAGGCCACAGCCCAAGGTCTCAGAGCTGGGAAAAGAAGTCCCCATAATTACAGGCTGTAAAAACCAGAGCAGATTGGAGCACAGTGGCACAGAGGCTGCTGGAGATCT